ATTTTGTCTATAACTTACATTGTGCCCAAAAGGTTGGCAACAAAAGGTTGGTAGGTTAATGTGGCTAAGTCATGAGAAGGATTGAACTTGACAACAAAAAAGTAAATATGATTTATAAAGATTGTTCCTGGGCCAAGTTTCTATATGATCAACTTGCTTAAAGAAGTATGACAGGGCAGATGCTGTGGCTCACTTAATCCTCTGCCTGCAGCGCTGGCATCCCATAGGCACACCGGGTTCTAGTCCCGGTTGCTCCTCTTCCAGTCTAGCTCTCTGTTGTGGCGCAGGAAGGCAGTGGAGGATGGCCCAAGTGCTTGGGCCCCTGTACCCGCATAGGAGACCAGGGGGAGGCACCTGGCTCCTGGCTTTGGACTGGCGTAGCTCTGGCCGTAGTGGCCATTTGGGAGGTGAACCAATGGAAGGAAGACCTTTCTCTCTGTCTCTCTCTCTCTGTCTACAACTCTACCTGTCAAATAAATGAAAAAAAAAAAAAGAAGTTTGACAATTAGATGAGTATTAGATGAGTATAATAATGAGGAAACACATGCCATTACAGGAAATTTACAAAGCAAAAAATAAATAGGAAAAAAAAAAGCCACCCTTAAATTCACCACTGAAACACAAGAGTAATTTTGTTTTTGAGCTTTTTCATGGATGATGTTTCCTAAGATAGTGGCACTTATCTATTCTCTCTACATTCTTACATTCTTCTTAATATTTTGTAACTGAGACCAGCGTTGTGGGGTACAGGTTAAAGCCGCTGCCTGAGACTGTGACACCAGCATCCTATATGAGTGCTCGTCTGGCCCAGCCCTGGCTGTTGTGGCCATTTGGGGACTGAACTAGCAAGTGGAGGATCTTTCTTACTCTCTCTCTTTCTCTCTCTCTCCTTCCCTCCGTCCCTCCTTCCCTTTCTCTTTCTGTAACTGTGCAATTCAAATAAACAAAATAAATCTTTAAAAAAAATCTATAAACTTTTTATTATATCTTTTAAAAATATAATTTTAATGGCTTCTCATTACATATTCTACTTAACTTTTCCTTTAGAGTTAGACATTAATATATTTCCTTTTTTTTGTTATAATAAATTCTATTTTTGTTTAAGTGCTTTCTGTATCTTTGAGATTATTTTCTTAATATAGATTTCAAGAAAAGGATTAGTAAGTTCAAGGGGGTATGAACTCTTTTTATAAGTTTTATTCTTTTCTGATAATATCTGAGCACTGTGGAAAAGAAGAAACAACATAGAGTCTCCACTCTGACACAACCTTTACTCCTAACCACCTTAGATATAAACTACCTGGTTACCTGTTCAGAATTTCTAAAAATGCAAACAGAAGTATACACTTAAACACAGCACAACTTTTTATTTTAAATTCTGCAACAATAGCAGTTAATTTTGATAACTGTTGAGTTATATTCATCAGGCATCAGTTGCATACTACTACTGAAGTACTATTATATGCTAATTTATTAAGCACTGTGTTATACATTGTAGTAGGTACACATTTTTTAATGTATTTTCTTAGCTACTTCTTCAGTGAATTACTTGTTTGTGCCCTTTACATCTTTATCTGAGATCCTGATATTCTTTCCATGGACTTCTACAAATTCTTCTTCTTCTTTTTTTTTTTTTTTTGTTTTGTTTTACAGGCAGAGTGGACAGTGAGAGAGACAGAGAGAAAGGTCTTCCTTTTGCTGTTGGTTCACCCTCCAATGGCCACCACGGCCGGCGCGCTGCAGCCAGCGCACTGTGCTGATCCGATGGCAGGAGCCAGGTACTTATCCTGGTCTCCCATGGGGTGCAGGGCCCAAGCACTTGGGCCATCCTCCACTGCACTCTTGGGTCACAGCAGAGAGCTGGCCTGGAAGAGGGGCAACCGGGACAGAATCCAGCGCCCCGACTGGGACTAGAACCCAGTGTGCTGGCGCCGCAAGGTGGAGGATTAGCCTATTGAGCCGTGGTGCCGGCCCTACAAACTCTTCTTAAAAATTTTTTTTAAACATTTACTTTACATATTTTAAAGCCAGAGTGAGAGAAGAGGGAGAGACACAGCAGTAGAGACCTTCCACCCATTGGTTCACTCTCCAAATGGCCACAACACCCAGGGCTGGGCCAGGCCAAAGCCAGAAGCCTAGAACTCCATCCTGCTCTCCTATGCAGGTGGCAGGGGCCCAAGTACTTGGGACATCATCCACTACCTTCCCAAGCAAATTAGCTGTGAGTTGGACTGTATTTAGAGTAGCTGGGACTCTAACTGGCACTCTAATATAGAATGCTGGTGTTGTAAGCAGTGGCTTAACCTGCTGTGTCATAACGTGGGCCCCTTATTTCATTTCTTCAAAAACATTATTATTTTTTTTTTGACAGGCAGAGTTAGACAGTGAGAGAGAGAGAGAGACAGAGAGAAAGGCTTCCTTTTTCCGTTGGTTCACTCCCCCAAGTGGCTGCTACGGCTGGCACGCTGCGCAGATCCAAAGCCAGGAGCCAGATGCTTCCTCCTTCCCATGCGGGTGCAGGGCCCAAGGACCTGGGCCATCCTCCACTGCACTCCTGGGCCACAGCAGAGAGCTGGACTGGAGGAGGAGCAACCAGGACAGAATCCAGCACCGCAACTGGGACTAGAACCGCAGGGTGCCGGTGCCGCAGGTGGAGGATTAGCCTAGTGAGCTGCGGCGCTGGCCCGACAAACATTCTTAAGTACCCTGGTAGAGCAATATGTTTTTCCAAGATGGGCTACAGCTGAATACATATTTAAAGTGTCTAAATTCCCTTATACAATGCCTATATTTCCCATCCTTACAAGCCAGGATGCCAGTGATAAGCTACAGGCTCACAAGAGGCTAGTGACTTCTGTAACTTGGATAATGTTCTCATACGTTGTTAGAACATCCTACTCCCACTGCTTTAGTGCCTGAAGACATGAAAACACAGACAGTGGAGCTGGCGGGAATGTAGAGGGCCACCACAAGGCATGAGATTGAGAACCTATACACACAACAGCAGAGCTTAAGTCAGCTGTGAGGGACAGATCCAATACCTTGCTGCTTAAATCTTGGAATTTATAACTTAAAGAAATGATAATCACATATATAATTGCATCCCTGGTCTGACCCTGATAACTCAAGGAAATGAGAAAACACATCATGGTATGCTGTTACTCTGAACAAGCTGAAGATTTACCCAAGGGAGTTCCTGTGTTTGTGGACAATATCATAGGTAGAAAGAGCTCAAACTCATTAACATAGAAAGGAATATTTTTCCTGCAGAGGATTTGATTAGTATTCTTCTCACTTCAAAGAGATGTTATGAGAAGACCCAACTGACATGTTATGGAAAGACCCAGGACAGACTTAACTATCCACAGCATTTCAATGGGCTCTGCGTTTCAAGCTTTTCGAAAGCTTAGGTTGGTGGTTCTAAAGTTGAACATGAATTAGAATCATCTGCAGTGCTGGTTAAAACATTGGCTGGTGTGCCCCACCTTACAGCTTCTGATCCAGCAGGTCTAGGTGGGACCCAAGAACTTGTACTTCTATCAGGATTCAAGGTGATGATAAGTGCTGGCTGAGACATTTGAATCAGTGCATAGCGTTATCCATTACCTTTTACTTACAACTACTCCCAGACCAGGAAGAGGTGGGGATGAAATTTGTTAGGCAGGAACCATAAGGCCTCTCCAGCCACTTCACTTCATTGGCCCTACCTGTCTCTTTAAACATACCCCACTAACTCACAGTTAGAGAGAATTGGGGAAATTTTCTATGTCTCATATTCTATCATGAATACATAAATATTAACATGGCCCAATACTTAAACATGAAAAGTGTTCAGAAATTCTCAGATGAAATGCATTAGATAAAGTCCTAAGCAATAACATGCATGAAGAATGCGCTATTACAAACCCCTGTTTTCACTTTCTTGCAGCTTTCCAAAAAATTAGGCCTTTGTGGTGAAATTTTCCATGCCTGGTTTCAGCCCAAAGGTGATTTTTTTTGTAAAGTTTGAGAAAAATATATTAAATAGTTTTTGAGTTATGAGAAGATGAAAAAAATCCCACACAATTTTTCCACTTTGAAAGCAATTTCAGGATTTTTTAAAAACATGCAGATAACCAAAAAAATAGCTTAAGTTGAAAAGTTGAAATTTTCCATGTGTTTAGTTTTCACTAACATATTCCCCTGGGTAATTCATAAAAGATAATGTGTATGTGCAAACACCACAAATAGATAAATATAGATATTTAAAGCAATGCATACGTGACTTAAAAATAGCATTTCATCATATTCAACACAAACTTTCTTAGAGTAGATTTATTGTTTTCTTAAAGGGAGTTTTCACAAATCAGAGTAGTTGCTGATTGCCTGATCCCTGGGGCTTTTTGCACACCAGGGTTTATCCCTTTATTCCCCATGATCCAGACAACTCTTACATGCTGTCATTTCTCTTGTTTCTCTCCAAAGCCTTCTCCTCACCAAAAGCCTTCACCTGCTTCCTACAGAAACCTCCTCCTGTATTTAAGGAACCACTCAAGTACTAAAGAAACAATAACAGAAATCTTAAGTTCAGGCATTACTGGTTTGATGCTTGTGAAAGTAACTAACTATGATCATAACCTTTCTACTTTACTTGACTGGAAAGCAGATAATAAGAAAGTTAGGGAACAGAATACACAGTCCTATAGTTCTGCCCTTACCAGCAACTGACATAGGGGTTAGACACATAACTTCTTGGAATTTCATCTAGAAGATGGGGAAACATCAGTAGTTACATGACCTTGTAGCATGTGAATTTGTTTTACAGATTTCAATGCAAGATATGATTATTGTTAGTTTTGAAAATAATATCAATTTTAAAAAACTGATTTAGGTTTCTAGACTGAAATGAAGAATCAAGTATAAGTCATTATAAACACTACCTTGACAAGGCTGAGAGGGGGAGGGACACAAGTCACAAAATTTGAGAAAAATTCAATATTCCTAGTTTTCAAGGATTCAAGTTTTTTTTTTTTTTTTTAACTTTTTACTTGTTGAACCCTTTACTGGAGCATTAAGCGTCTGACTATAATGTAAATTAAAAAAATATTATCTCTGGGGCTGGCGCTGTGGCGTAGTGGGTTAATGCCCTGGCCTGGGGCGCCGGCATCCCACATGGGCACTGGTTCGAGACCCGGCTGCTCCACTTCCGATCCAGTTCTCTGCTATGGCCTGAGAAAGCAGTAGAGGATGGCCCAAGTCCTTGGGCCCCTGTACCCGTGTGGGAGACCCGGAAGAAGCTCCTGGGTCCTGCCTTCGGTCTAGGGCAGCTCTGGCTGTTGCAGCTACTTGGGGAGTGAGCCATTGGATGAACGACCTCTCTCTCTCTTTGCCTCTCCTCTCTCTGTGTAACTCTGACTTTCAAATAAATAAATAAATCTTTTAAAAAAATATTATCTCAAAAAAGAAAGGAAAGAAGGAAGGAAGGACAGATGGATGGAAGGGAGGGTAAAAAGGAAGTATCACTAGATTCTTGGAGTTATATTTATGAACTACATTGAATTTGTTCTTGTACTATCACACTAACATGAGAATTGATAATTGTGTTGTAGTAATTATCACATATTTGCTGTGACCTTGAGAATCTAATGTATTAATAAGTTCTCTACAAAAAAAAAAAAAAATAGGGGCCAGCATTGTGGCGCAGGGGTAAAGATGCCACCTGCATGGCCAACCTCCCATATGGACAGCAGTTCAAGTCCTGGCTGCTCTGCTTCTGATTCAGCTCCCTGCTAATGTGCCCGGGGAAGCAGTGGAAGATGGTCCAAGTCCTTGGGCCCCTGTGTGGGGAGCAACCCGGACTGGACTGAGTTACTGGAATTAAGACTTATTCTATGCATCTGCTCTCCCACAATATGGCGCTGGGAGAGAAGTAAACAGCTTCCGCACAGCTGCCTCCAGTTCAACCAATTAACTGTAGGACTTGCTCCTGATTGGAGGAGAGCAGCGTACTCGGCGTGTGGGCAGCCGAGTTGGGATTGGCGGAGGAGGACTATAAAGGAGGAGAGAGACAGCATGCACCAGGAACATCTATGGGGAACATCTAAGGGAACCCGTGCAGCCCCCGAGAGACCCGGCCGGCGGTGTGCCGCTCCCCTGCGGAAGTGGGGAATGCGGCCAGGGGGAACCGCCCTTCCACGGAGGTGGAAGGGATAGTAGCCAACCCGGGAAGAACCAGCAGCAAACCCGGGGAGGGCCGAGCAGACGAAAGAACAGCGCAGGGTCCTGTGTCGTTCCTCCATGAAGAGGGGGAGCGACATAATGGTGCCGTGACTCGGATAGGAAACCTAGGACGGATAGCAAACTTAGGAGGGAAGAAACGGGAAGAAGCAGGAAAATACCAGAGAGAGAGACTAGCAAACAGCCTAGGGAAAAGCCGGACGAAAAGAGGTGCCGGAGGAAGCTGTTGAAAGCCTAGGCATAGACTCAGATACGGACTACGGGGGGAAGCTGGGAGAAATCTCTAAGGTCAAAAGCGAAAGTGAAAGCTAGAACAAACAGACTCGGATGCGGACTGTGGGGAGAGGCCAGGAGAAATGAGGGAGGAATATCGTTGGAGGAAAGTTTGGGGAAACATACCGGGTAGAGAAAAATGTTAGGGAAATTGAAGCCGCGGGGGGCAGGCCGAGGCGGAAACGGAAGCCACTTTGGGATTCTCAAGTTAGCCCGGGAATAGGGGGCGAAAAGTTGAAACCAGAAGCTGAAACGTAAGCCAGATTGGGATCCGTCTGATTAGCCCGGGGAGCAAAGGACGGGAAGCCAAGCCGTGGGGCGGAGATGTATGCTGGGTTGAATTCGCCAGGCTAGCCCGGGGAACTTAGATTGAATGCTAGTGGCGGACACGTAAGCTACGCTGTGTTACTCGCGGAAGCCGTCGCGTGCAGAGAGAGCACGGGGCGTGAATAGATGGGGAACGGGGCTGGCGCGAGGCCGTGGTGCAGACGCGAAGGGCGTGGAGACCGCGGAGCGCGCGAAGCCAAGCCGCGCAAAGCCGGGAAGCTGCGCAGATGAGAGAGGCGCGGGCTGAAGCGGCTCAGCCGGGAAGCCGCCGAGAAGTAGCCTCGGGGCGGGCAGCGGGAAGCTGCGGGGATAAGAGAAACAGAAGTTTAGAAGTAAGATGAGAGAAATAGGAATGCTGGAAGATAGAAGTAAAATGGGAGAAATAGGAATGCCCGGAGTTAGAGAAATAGAGAAATAGAAAGGCCTCCCTACAACACTGCAATGTGAGAGCTTGGATTCGGTCTGCCTGATTAAGTGAGGCGATGAGCACGATGAGCACCTGCGGCGGCTAGCAGCTTATGCGCCGCAGGTCACCGAAGACAGGCACGAATTAACATCAATAAGGCCTCCCCACAACACAGCGCTGAGAAGGCTTGGATTCGGTTTGCCTGATTGCTAGGTTTTGTAAGCCCCTGCAGGCAGAGCAGAGCATGCGCTGCAGGGCACCGAACACAGGCACGCATCAGCGCCTAAAAACCTCCTCATAACATGGCGAAGAGAGGACCCGGATTCGGTTTGCCTGATAGGACTTGTAAGAGCCTGTGGCAACTCTAGCAAGTAGAGCAGAGTGTGTGCCGCGGGACACCGAAGACAGGCGCGTATCAATGCCAAAAATAAAAAGAAAGGGGGATCTGTGGGGAGCAACCCGGACTGGACTGAGTTACTGGAATTAAGACTTATTCTATGCATCTGCTCTCCCACAATATGGCGCTGGGAGAGAAGTAAACAGCTTCCGCACAGCTGCCTCCAGTTCAACCAATTAACTGTAGGACTTGCTCCTGATTGGAGAGCAGTGTACTCGGCGTGTGGGCAGCCGAGTTGGGATTGGCGGAGGAGGACTATAAAGGAGGAGAGAGACAGCATGCACCAGGAACATCTATGGGGAACATCTAAGGGAACCCGTGCAGCCCCCGAGAGACCCGGCCGGCGGTGTGCCGCTCCCCTGCGGAAGTGGGGAATGCGGCCAGGGGGAACCGCCCTTCCACAGAGGTGGAAGGGATAGTAGCCAACCCGGGAAGAACCAGCAGCAAACCCGGGGAGGGCCGAGCAGACGAAAGAACAGCGCAGGGTCCTGTGTCGTTCCTCCATGAAGAGGGGGAGCGACACCCTGTACCCACATGGGAGACCTGTAAGAAGCTCCAGGCTCCTGGCTTCAGATTGGCCCAGCTCACTCGCTCTTTCATTCTCTTTCTCTCTGCCTCTGCCTCTCTGTAACTCTCCCTGTCAAATAAATAAATAAATCATTTTAAAAAAGGAGAAATAAAAGGAAAGCTGCTCTCACAAATATTCCTATTTCTCTTTCACTATGAACATCTCTCTCTGTATAGACTATTCCTCAGCATATTAAATTCTCTCCTTCTTATAGGGAAAAGAAATGTTCCCTTGACCAGTTTTTTCCTTAACTTGTCCTCTTTCATTCTCACATTCAATGGCCAATTCTGAGATTACTATCCATTTATCATCTAATATCTTGCAACCTCCTTCTCCCATTATTCCAATAAAACATTGTTGTTGTTGTTTTTTCTTTTTTTGAAAGGCAGAGTGGACACTGAGAGAGAGAGAGAGACAGAGAGAGAAAGGTCTTCCTTTTGCCGTTGGTTCACCCTCCAATGGCCGCCGCGGCCAGCGCATCACACCAATCCGAAGGCAGGAGCCAGGTGTTTCTCCTGGTCTCCCATGCGGGTGCAGGGCCCAAGCACTTTGGCCATCCTCCACTGCACTCCCAGGCCATAGCAGAGAGCTGGCCTGGAAGAGGGGCAACCGGGACAGAATCCGGCACCCTGACTGGGACTAGAACCCGGTGTGCCGGCGCTGCAAGGCAGAGGATTAGCCTATTGAGCCACGGCGCTGGCCAAAACATTGTTTTTACGGTCACCAGTGGCCCTCTGGTTACTAATACTAGGAGCCCAAGGTCCTCATTTTCTCCCACAAGGTACCCCCTGCTATGTAACGCAGCATCTCCAAACTGACAGTTTACAGCTTACAGTGATATCCTTTCTCGCTATTCTGTGAGTCAGGAATTCAAACAGGGCTCAGCCGAAAGGTTTTCCTGCTCAATTTGGTGTTGGTCAGGGCCACTAACTTGGCTGCATTCAGTGGTGGGTGGGCTGAGCTGGGCTGGGCTGGGCTGGGCTGGGCTGGAAGGTCCACAGTGTCATTCAGGTCTGGGGTCTCACGGTCCTTCTCTGTGGCCAGTGTGGCCTTTCTCACAGTGTGGCCTGGTCTCAGGGTAGCTGGACTTCTTATATGGCAGCTGGCTCTCAGGAGAGAGGAAACAGAACCTCCTGGTCCCCATGTGGCTGGGCTGGAAAGCATGAGGACATTACTTCCTCCACATGCTGTTGGTGAGACAGTCACAGGGCCTGATGTGCTATTCTCACTCTTCCAGTCAAGTTTTTTAAGCCTCTTAGCTGGAATTGTGTTATGTACTGAGTCTTTAAAATACTGAGTGTCTACAATATCCTCAAAACCCTTTTAGGGGATTCCAAAAGAAACAAAAGAAAAAAAGGTTCTGAGCGATAACAACACTCATGCATTTAATTTTGTTAATTTTGCTCCTATATTTAGGACCTATTCATTTTTACTGAGACAAACTATACTATGATTATCTGTTTTCTCTACCCATAGCAAATGAGTAGCAATAAATTAGAAGTAGGGAAGAGAAGTGACACCTAACACTGAAGAAGAAGATAGAAAAACTGTAACAAACATGAAACATTTTTTAAAAATAGAAAAAGTATTGAGAGCTAAGAAGTTTCAGGGTAGGGGCCGGGGCTATGGCATAGTGGGCATTAAGCCGCTGCCTGCAGTGCTGGCAACCCATATGGGTGCTGGTTTGAGACCTGGCTCTTCTATTTCCCATCCAGCTCTCTGCTATGGCCTGGGAAAGCAGTGAAAGATGGCCCAAGTCCTGGGGGTCCCTATACCCATGTGGGAGACCTAGAATAAACTCCTGGCTCCTGGCTTCGCATCAGCACAGCTCCAGCTGTTGCAGCCAATTTGGGAGTAAACCAGTGGATGGAAGACTCTCTCTCTCTCTCTCTCCCCCTCCCTCCCTCCCTCCCTCTCTGCCTCTCCTTCTCTCTGTGTAACTCTGCCTTTCAAATAAATAAATACATCTTAAAAAAAAAGTTTCAGGGTAAAGACCAAGATCCCTTTGATTATATTTTATTCTATCACAATACTACCAAAGTGTTACACTAGAATATGTTCTCAAAATGATGTGATTATGACTAGTCTTCAATTACTAAGAAAAAATTCCTCTGTCATTAATATGCATTGTTGAAGAAGGCAGATAAGTAATATACTTTAGATAGATTTATATCTAACAGGGTAAAATAATCTTGCTTTACAGGAGTGACTTTAAGTAATCTGGACATTTAATTTAGAGAGAAGACTTTTTTGCCAACCAGGCAAAGGAAGCTCTATGTTATGGTACATGTTCCCTAAGGAAGGCCAAATAACATAAAAAATTAAGTTCGTGAAGGTATGGTATATCTTGAAGGGGAGGAAGTGTTATCATTAAATGCAATATAAACAATCTTGAACTTCACGCAAACAATGTACTGGCAAAATCAGCACATTTATGACATACAGAGTATTGATAATTAGGGAAAGAAGATTCTAGATAGTGAGAGTCAGATTATCTTTGTTGTTTCCACATCATGACTCACCCCACCCCATTAAATTGTGGGAGCATTTCTGTGCCTCTTCCCCCTTGGGTGGCAACAGAATGAGTCATATGAACCTTTCTGCATACTGCGGGGACACACCAGCACCTCTCTGGGCCCTGTTATCACCCAAAGGCTCAAAGAACCACCAGATACCTTCTGAGATTCTCTTTATATCCCCAGCTAAGAAATACACCCATTTTGGGATTCAGACAGAGCCAGGGTCATATGCTGACAAGGTAACTTGTCATTTCCCCAATTACAAAACCCAAGATGGGGTTAGACTGTCTACAAAGCTCATCCTATTTCTAAGATCCTGTTGGTCTAAAAACAATTGTCTTTTTTCTTGTAACTTGTGACAGCTATTATTTATTTATTTATTTTTGACAGGCAGAGTGGACAGTGAGAGAGAGAGACAGAGAGAAAGGTCTTCCTTTTGCCATTGGTTCACCCTCCAATGGCCGCCGCGGCTGGCGCGCTGCAGCCAGCGCACAGTGCTGATCCGATGGCAGGAGCCAGGTGCTTCTCCTGGTCTCCCATGGGGTGCAGGGCCCAAGCACTTGGGCCATCCTCCACTGTACTCCCTGGCCACAGCAGAGAGCTGGCCTGGAAGAGGGGCAACCAGGACAGAATCCGGCGCCCCGACCGGGACTAGAACCTGGTGTGCCAGCGCCGCTAGGCGGAGGATTAGCCGAGTGAGCCGCCGCGCCGGCCTACAGCTATTATTAAACAATCTCCTATTGAGCTATTTTCTTTCAAAATTCCCTATTCTATAACTTTGTCAAAATATCTGAAGAATTTCTATAACTGTATGTGTCAAATTTGCTAAAAGAAACAAAAAATTTTACATACTAAATTTTAAAGAGGCAATTATTTTTTCAGTATATTAAAATAGATGAAAACATATCTGATATATGTAAAAAGTTTCTTAAAATGAATTAAGACCTATAATTAAAAAACGATTGCAAAGAACTGAACCAAAATAAAACCAAATAAACCAGCTACTAACTACACATATGTCCTCAAAATCTTATGGGAGTCAAAAATTCCAGTAAAAATAACAGAAGAGATGGAAACACAAGTTTCTTATTATCACACTTCATACGTTATAAAACATAACAGCTAACTTGTTTTTGGCAAAATGATTAAGGATTGCAACACTCTGGCTTACACAAACTTATTTGATTGTCAAATACATCTTAAATGGAGCGTGTCATGCTAACTTGAGGCATGCAGGCTCTGTGTTGCTGTAGAGCAGCCCAGAAGACACTGAAATTTCAACACTTCAGCAGGGATCACACCATTGATATTAACTGGTCCAGGTGTTTAATAGTTGGGAAAGGGGGGGGTGGACAGAGCGTGTGTGTGAGGGGGAAATTTCAACAATGTAGTTAATTGAAACCAGACAAAGTATTTGAATAGTAGAAAAAAATCATACAGATGTTTACCCTCCCCCAAAGTGAGCTTTATGAACTATTTATTACACACGATTTCTAGAATATACCTTTTTTTTCAGAAGATAAAACACAGTTTCAATGTCTTTCTGAAAACAGTACTAATTATGTCTCTTCTACAGATAAGGTTAAACTCATGCTTCATCTTTTTGCCCCCTTTTCACCACTATTCCTACAAGGGCAAGAATACCTGAAAGAATGGTGATAATTAAAAAGTTCTGAAGTTGAAGAAGCCATAAAAAAGCAGATTAGATTTAAGATGCACTGTACTAGGCCGGCGCTGCAGCTCACTAGGCTAATCCTCTGCCTAGCGGTGCCGGCACACCGGGTTCTAGTTCCGGTCAGGGCGCCAGATTCTGTCCCGGTTGCCCCTCTTCCAGGCCAGCTCTCTGCTGTGGCCCAGGAGTGCAGTGGAGGATGGCCCAAGTGCTTGGGCCCTGCACCCCATGGGAGACCAGGAGAAGCACCTGGTTCCTGCCTTCAGATCTGCGCGGTGCTGGCCGCGGCGGCCATTGGAGGGTGAACCAATGGCAAAGGAAGACCTTTCTCTCTGTCTCTCTCTCTGTCCACTCTGCCTGTCAAAAAAAAAAAAAAAAAAAAAAAGATGCACTGTACTTCTTTCTTAACAGACATGTGGTGCAAGCCCAGAAAGAGACACGGGTTCAAAACAAATGTTTTGAACAACCGTTTTCAAATATATATCAGATAAAGAAACAAAAACCAAAAGGACAGGGTTGTGATTAAGCTAATAGACTGTGACAATTCATAACTGAAAATGTTTTCCTTATGTTTACAGAATAGCCATGTTATTATCAAACATACAAGTGCACTTTTTAATGTTTTTCAGTCTTTTAAAACACCTGGAACAATTAAGAACCAAAAATTCTATTTCATTTTATTTTACTACATTTTACTTGGCAGGGCCAAGTCATTGCCAACATCAAGTTGTAAATTCAGTATACTTATCTTTTTATATCACATGCTTGGCTGCACACCAACACACTATCGTGTTGGAGTAGGCAGCTTTCAACATGGTTCACAGTGACCCTCATCTCCTAGTTTCATTCCATCCCCTTGAGTTTCAGTTGGATCTAATGAGTTGATTCTAACAAAAAGAATATGACAAAAATGAAGAGACACCACTTCTGTAGTTAGGTCATGGTCTGTGACTTCCATCTTGCCAACAGACTCTCTCTGGCTTTTCTGCTAGGCTTGTTAGTGAAGCGAGTGTGAGAAGTTGACATGTTAAGGAGGGTGGCTTCCACCCAAGTGCCAGGGACGAATTAAGGCTTTCAGTCCAACAGTCCTTGAACTGAATCTTGCCCACAACCATGTGAGTAAGCTGGAAGCAGATCTGACTCAATTCAAGTCTTCAGATGAGATGGCAGTCCTAGAAGACACCTTGATTACAACCGTGTGAAAGACCCTGAAGTATAGGACCCAGTTAACTGTGGCCAGAAACTGAGAGGATGTATGTGTATTGGTTTCCATTGCTAAGTTTTGGAGCAACAAAATACACAACAGTACATAACTAATAGAGTAGTTAATCTAATTACTGTGCCAATGATTCTAGTGTCATTTCCATAAAAATAATTACTTATAGGGCTGGCGTCATGGCGTACCCGTGATGCTGGCATGCCATGTGAGCACCAGTTCGTGTCCTGGCTGCTCCACTTCCAATCCACCTCTCTGCTAATTGCCTCTGAAAGGCAGTGCAAGATGGCCCAGGTGTTTGGGCTCCTGCTACCCTCAATGGGAGACATGGGAGAAGCTCTTGGCTCCTGGCTTCATCCCAGCCTACTGCTGGCCATTGTGATCACCTTGGGAGTGAACCAATGGGTGAAGATCTCTCTCTGTCTCTTCCAATTTCTCTGTAACCGTGACTTTCAAAGAAATAAATAAGTGTTACATGGAAATTCAAGGTTCTACTCTTTTGAAAAAATATTTATTTGAATGACTAACAGACACACACCCCCACATACACACATACATACAGAGACAGAGATCTTCCATCTGCTGGTTTATCCCCAAATATCTAACACAGCTGAGGCAGCACAAGGCTGAAAAAAGTAGCCAAGAACTCAACTTGAACCTTCCACTTGGGTAACAGGGAGCCAACTACTTGAGCCATTTCTAGCTGCTTCCCAGGGTGTACATTAGCAGGAGGCTGGAAGCAGGAGCAGAGCTGTGGCTTAAACGAAGGTACTCTGATATGGGATGCAGGGGTCCCAAGTGGCGTCTTAACCACTGCACCAAATGCCTAGTCCCCAGGCAGGATTCTGAATACTTTATACAATGTCTCACAACAATACTTTGAGGAACATATCATTATTTCCATTTTACAGATGAAGGAACTGAGATACAGACTCAGTAACTTGTCTAAGATCACAAAGACAAACAAATTACGGTGATTATTTGAACCCTGGTGTTTTGGCTCCAAAAGCAAGCTCACAGCAACTATACAAGTAGAATCAGTAAGAGGAAGGCTGGCCCCTGTAAAGCTAGTGACCACAGCACCAGAGGAGATCTCAAAGCACGAAAGAGATTAGAAGCCATGCAAAATGCTGAAAGCAAAAACAAAGCCTGTTGTCTGATGAAGGTGCCCTATCTAGGGGAAAAAACAGAGTAGAAACAACAGTACAGCGAATGGAGCACAACCTTCATTTACTGAATTCACACTTAGAAATTAAAAATGCCTTTATTATAACCAAATATGAAAATTCAAATCCTCTATTTGGAATTAAAATGTACAGCCAGGGAGGCTATACTTGTACTTTTCAGGAGCATTATCAGTAAGAAGCAGGAAAAGGAGCAAATTTATAGTGAGCTCTAAAATCTCCCTGGAGACACGTTATAACTCAAAGTGAGAAAAAATTCTTAGAGTGATGCACAAAGAGATCAGTTCTCATCTTGCCTTCCCAACCCGATACCATCAGATTATTAGAGAACACTGGGGAAACCCTGCAAGACATTGGCAGGCAATGGGTTATTGGAAAAGACCCCAGAGGCACAGGCAGTCAAAGCCAAAATTAACAAGTGGGATTACATCAAATTGAGAAGTCACTGTACTGCAAAAGAAACACTCAAGAAAGTTAAGAGGCAACTGACAGAATGGGAGAAATTACTTGCAAACTATGTAACTGATAAAGGATTACTAACCAGAATATACAAAGAGATAAAGAAACTCCACAACAACAGAACAAACAACCCAGTTAAGAGATGGGTAAAGGATTTAAACAGACATTTTTCAAAAGAGGAAATCCAAATGGCCAACAGACACATGAAACAATGTTCAGGGTCATCAGGGAAATGCAAATCAAAATCACAATGAGGTTTCACCTCACCCAAATTAGAATGGCTTTCATACAGAAATCAACAAACAACAAATGCTGATGAGGATGTAGGGAAAAATGTCTCCTAATCCACAGTTGGTGGGAATGTAAACTGGTAAAGCCACTATGTAAGACAATATGGAGATGTCTCAGAAATCTGAATATAGACATACCATATGACCCAGCCATCCCACTCCTGGGAAATTACCCAAGGGAAATGAAATCAGCATGTGAAAGAGTTAGTTATCTGTACCCCAATGTTTATTGCGGCTCAATTCACAATAGCTAAGACAGGGAATCAATCCAAATGCCTCTCAACTGAAGACTGGATAAAGAAATTATGGGATATACACCATGGAATCCTACACAGTGTCAAAAAAAAAAAAAAAAAGAAAGAAAGAAAGAAAGAAAGAAAGAAAGAAAGAAAGAAAGAAAGAAAGAAAGAAAGAAAGAAATTTGGTCATTTGCAACAAAATGGAATAATCTGGAAAACATCCTAAGTGAAATAAGCCAGTCCCAAAGGGACAAATACCACATGTTCTCTCTGACCTGTGATAACTAATAGAGTGCCTAAAAGGCAATCTGTAGAAGTGAAATTGATACTTTGAGAAGCAATAACTTGAACAGCCCTTGTCTTTACTGTTGAGGAACAGTTTTTTTTCCCTATACTATTTGTTGAACTCTTAACATAGAGTTAAACATATGTATATAAAGTCAACTGAAACTAGATCTCAGTAAAAAATAAAAGTGAGAACAAGAGAGGAAAGGAAGAAGAGGGGTGGGAGTATAGGTATGTGGGCAGGCATGGTGAGAAGAATCATCATGTTCCTAAAGTTGTAATTATGAAGAGTATGAAGTTTGTAAATGTAAAGCTGTATAGTTCTGCATACATTCCTATGGACTTACTTCTAAGGGTACAGTTTAAAAACTTGCCATGGGACCTCAAATCCCTTTAAGCTGGGTGGTAAAATACACCATCTTAAGTGTTACAGTGATCATATGGATAGAATTAAGTGTCTGATAGACAGAATTAAAAAGGAGTGAATGCTTCAACATGGGACGCAAGTCCACACAATACTCATAGAATGTCAATCGCTTTAAGTAACACTCAGAATCAGCCCTTAAGGTATTCTGGTCTGGCTGAAAATCCCATGAGAGTATTTCTGGCTCAGAAAGCTAAGACACTGTGGCAAAAAATGTCCAAATGAAGGAACTGGGTGGGTGAGACCCCAATGGAAAGAAGTGATCATCAAAGAAGGAGTTACTTTTCTCTGAAGGGAAGAGAGACTTCCACTTTGCTTATGGTCTTGTCTAAATACTGACAAGCGTTTTTGGATTCCAAAAGCTTCCATAGCCTAGGCAGCTCATATCAAGAGCCTCAGGTGATCACTGATGTCATACATAAGTGTTAATTGTTAAATTTACAAAAGAAGTCACTGTGCATTAACTTTCCATGCAGGATCTCTGTCCTCAAAGAGTTGTATTACAATTATGTTTAAGTGCTCCCAAAAGATGTATCATTCTTGGGTGTTTCTTTAAAGTTAATTAAGTTTCTAAAAAAAAAAAAAAAAGGAAGTGAAATTAACTTCAAGATGCAATGACTTTGAACAGCCCTTTTCTCTACTGGTGAGGAACAGTTGTTTTTTTTTTTTTTTTTTCATGCAAGTTGTTGAACTCTTTACTTAGTATAGAGTGGGTCTTCTGTGTATAAAGTTAATTGAAAATGGATCTTAGTGGAGAATGGGAGTGGGAATGGGAGAGGGAGGAAGAGGAAGGGTTGGAGCATGGGTGGGAGGGCGGGTATGGCAGGAAGAATCACTATATTCTTAAAGTTGTACTTACGAAATGCATGAAGTTTATATTCCTTAAATATAAGGTTATTCCTTAAATAAAAGGTTTCTTTGGGGGAAAAAAAAAACAACAAACAGCACATGTTCCCTCACACCTAGGATTCAGCAAATACAAATTGGCAGCAATCACAGCCATTGATAGTTCTCCTCCATGACATTTCTCAAAAACATAGCATAGTGCCTGATACTTCAAGGCAAAGGCTTAGTATGTGTTGGCTGAATGAAGAAATAAATTATCTTGTCAATTACTACATCCATTCAATGAGTCATTTCACTGGTATGTGTTAGTTCAAGTTTTTGCGTCTCTCTTATAGTTAACTTGCTTTCCTAGGCTCTTGAAATAGTTCTTGTGTTTCTCAGGTGCCTCACTTCCTATCAGGCACAGAGCGGCATCCCAGATGTACTTGAGAAGGAATGAATGAATGTTTGTCTCAAAATGGCTACCAAGCTACAGAACAAAGATCAAGGCTAACAGCTTGGAGCTAAGTAAAGATTTTGTATTCCATGATGATAGCTGTTTGCCCATCAATGATGATGATACATTTTCTTCCTTCTGAAAGAAGGCATGATTGAGAAGTTCTCAGTAAGAATCTTGTCTAGGTTTTAGTTGTTAACTGCTCTTAACCATTCCTTTATGAAAGACAGCAAGTTAAATGTAAAATTAGAACTCCCAGATTCAAAGGTATTCATTTGAAAAAAAAAAAAAAGAAAATCTCCCTCAGTATTAATCTTGGAAACATTATGGGAATTTCACAAATGTACATCACACAGGCTCACAATAATACGGAGACAAGGACAAAGGCAGCTATCGAGCAGCCATCTCAGTGTTGTTTATCCATTATCCATGAACAAAGGCAGGCTGAGGAGGGTTTGTGCAGGTGCATAAGCAGGCATTCTTAGTCACCACCTAAAGTGTACTTACTGGGAGCTCTGGAGCACGCTTCAAGATCTGAAGAGAAATATAGCAGCCTATGGAATGGCCAATGAGCACAAGCTTCATTTCCTTTGGCACGTGAGTTCTCAGGAAGGCTAGTTTGTGTTCTATTTGACCACTGAGTCCATAGATGTCCTTAATTTCTTGAGCATTTGGACCTAAAAGCAAAAATATAAGCACGCTTTCACTCAATAAGTGAAAATCACTTCAATGAAAAAATAATCTAAAAAAGAAATAACAGTGACAGTAGTTACCATTCTCACGCACACACAAAAAAGCCTACAGTATGCTAGCTACAGTTTTAGGAAATCAAGTATAATAATCAATGCTCACAACAACCATAGAAAGGAAGTATTACCATTTTCATTTTATAGGTGAAAATCTCTATGCTGATAAACATTACTGACAGTCCAGTCCTACTCAGTGGGAGGGGTGAGAGTCACACCCAGGGCTCTTTGTCTTTAAAGCCCATGAGCTTTCAATATTTCATGAATTACTGTTAGGTTAGGGCAGTGTTTCTCAAACTTAAGCATACAACAGAATCCTTGAGGCTTCTTAAAACAGATTGCAGTGCACCCCCTCCCCCAATATATCTAAACATTGGTGAAACTCTGCTAGCTTTTTAAGTATGAAACATGGGGAAGGGATGCAAGATAAGGTTTCTATTTAAAACTGCTATTTTACTTAAAAAAACAAATAAAAATTATATAATCCCCCAGCACAAATCATATAAAATAACTTCTAAAATATTTATTTATTTATTTGAAAGGCAGAATGACAGAAAGGGGGAGATGGGGAGTGCTAGTTTATCTGCTGGTTCACTTTTCAAATGCCTGCAATATCCAGGGCTGGACAGGCTGAAGCCAAGAGCCCAGAACTTCATCTGTATCTCCTATGCAGGCAGCAGGGGCCAAAGTACATAGGCCATCATTTGCTGCCCTCCTGGGTGCCTCAACAGGAAACTGGATGAGAAGCAGGGCAGCTAGAACTCAAACTGGCACTCCATTATGGGATGTAGACACCCCAAGTGGCAGCTTAACCTGATGCATCACAACAGCCCCTAAAATAACTTCTAATTACTAGTCTCCAAATAGGTTGTTAAAATCACGGTCATCAAATTATGCTTTCCACCTGACAAAACCCAATGACTGCCAAGGATTTCAGCAGGAGAAATATGGGATACAGGAGATAGATTTAGCAAGAAGAACAAACTGTTGACAAACTTAGCAAAAACAAAAGCAAAAGGCACGAAAGTTTGGGGGGGTATTATTTTAGAAATAGCCCTGAGTTCTGTATTTACTTGTGGTTATAGGATAAGACAGAGCAATTGGTTGGAAAGGAAGGGTGTTACTGATCAAGGAGGACAGGGAGCATCACACCCAGGAGTCTGGACTCTGTTTGGACCAGTGGGAAGACATCTAAGGCCTGCAGGGAGTGAGCAGAACGATCTGGCACATGACAGACATGCAGACACTTCCAGTCCTTCTGTCTGCCCTGGGAGGCTACAGGTTGCTGGATTCTTAACTTCTCTTGCTCTGCCTTCTGGTCTGCTTCTGATCTAGAGATGTACTGCTTTCATATCTAGTGACTGTGAGCTCTGAGACTTGATTGACTAATTGTTCCTGCCTTGGACTAGTCTGGTAACTCCATGTTACCTCCACGCTCCTCTGCCATTTCTAGTCCTGGCAGAGAGAAAGTTCTACTGGTTTTTCTCTTTCTGCCAAGGGGACAGCAGTGGGAGTTGCGTATTGTTCCTTTAGGTAAACATGACTCAAATGCATTGTTAACTGCCAAGACTGTGTAAATTTTTTAGGTCATGTTACCTCCTGAAAGTAAACCAGTATGATTTCTAGCTTCTATTTTATACCTCTTACACAAATGAGTCGAAATGGTTGACAATGCATTTGCCATCAAGTAAGCTGGTTCTGGTAAATCAAAGCCAGAAAACAGTTTATACTTCTAATTCCTCAAAATTTCTTGTCCCAGTTTTACTCTCAAATCATCCCCTTCTGACACTGGTGAACATCTGTTCTCCTAATTGCATTCAATTTGATAATGTGGTACAACTAGAATATTATTTCCAACTGCTCATTATTTTAACATGTGCTAATTATGAAGCAAAATACACTCTCAACATCTGATGTCTTGTTATAATTTATGCTCTCTCAATTATTATGTAATTTTCGTGCCATATTTTGCATGTCAGAAAACCTGCACCTTAGGATAGTAATCTTGAATGGAGAATATTATATCTAGCCTACCTATCCAATGCAGTCTATTATAGTAAACACTTGCAAACATAACTTCCACCTCATGAAACATAAAAGCAGAATTGCTTTTCCTGAATGGGTGTTTGACAAGGCCCAGAGCCTTCACAGAACACAGCTGAAAAGGCACTGTTATATAAGGTGCAGACTGGCATTTCAATTTCATTGTATGCCCTGTGTAGCACCACACATACTCAAGTCAGTCATCTGTAACTCCAGGCAAAGATGAGTCACCCTTTCACCTGCTCTAGGAAACCAAGGCTTCTTCTGGTTCTGTAGTGGCCCTGTGGGCTAATTCCTCTAGATGGCACTGTTCTCATTAGGTAGCAAAGAATGCAGGCTCTAATTACTAAGTTACTAACTCAACATTACACTTGCAGCACAAAGAGCAATAAGCATACTCCAAACAAGTTATGAGTAATAAGACATCCATTTAAAACAAGAACTAGAAACATTCCCTAGAAATTCAGACACACAACAGATACTTTCTGCTGGTTCTCAGTGCTTAATGGGGGCAGACCTTGGGCAGTGGTTCTGAAAATGTGGCCTAGGACCAGGAGCATAAACATTACCTGGGAGTTTAATAGAAATACAAATTCTCAGGTCCCACCCAAGATCCACTGAACCAACAGCCCAGGGGGCAACCATGTGGGTTTTGATAAATCTTCCAGGTGATTCGGATGCCGAAGTTTGAGAATCCCCGATCTGCAGTTATCCTTCAAGGCTAGTTCAGCTTTCAAAATCATGATTCACATCCTGTTCAAATGTTTGCCTCTGTCTTTAGCATGATTTCATATAGCTTACTGTGATAGCTCAATGTTTCTGTAATATAGTAATTCTTGTAGTTTCTCTCTACCATGGTTGGCCATTCTCACCAAGTTGAGAACATAGGAATAAGAATAACCATTAAGAAGTTTGAACACAACAAAAGAATAGGAATTTTCCCTCACTGTGTACTTGCGGTATTTCCACTACAGGTTGAATATCCCCTATCTGAAGTGTTTAGAACTGCTTCAGATTTCAGAGTTTTTTAGATTTTGGAATATCTGCTTACCTGTTGAGTATCTGAAGTCCAAAAATCCAAAAACCTGAAATGCTCCAAAATCCAAGGCTTTTAGAGCATTATTTTCGTACTCAAAAGGTCATGGATTTTGAAGTATTTGGGATTTGGACTAATATATTAGGGAAGCTCACTCTGTACTTCCTAGCTCCCTCTGTCTTTGGTTTCTCTCTTCTTTTGCTAGAGTTCATATTAAAGACCAGGTGGCTGGCAGCTTTTGTTAGTTCAGCTTGTTAAAGAAGGAAGCCTCTTTTCTAGCAAGATTTCTTTTATCACCTCTGTTTTTCAAACACAACATAAGGTAGCAAAAACAAATTCTCAACATACATACAAATTTCCCAACAAATGAAACACAATGGTATTAAACCCCTAATTTTGGGTACATACTTAGAAGCAAGTATTTTCTATATACTTTATTCACTCTCAGTCACATTTCAAAAATGATGCCTGCTGAAATACATGTTTTTTTAACCAAGGCAATGCAATCTGTATATTCAATTTTCTTTCACTACTGCTATTAAAATGTTTCACTGCTAGGTAATCAATATTCACTCAGCCTTCAAAATATACCCTAGTTCTAATGTAAAGTGTTATTAATTTTAAACTCTAAGTTTTCACTGCTACTAAATAGGAAAACAACTGACTTTTAAAATAGTTATTTACTTGAGAGTCAGAGAGAGAACACACGTCCACTAGTTCATATCCTAAATGCCTGCATTAGCTGGGACTGGACCAGGTGCTGAACTTGGGAACTCACTCAATTCAGATCCCCCGCATAGGTGGTAGGAACCTAATTATTGAGCCATCAGTACTGTCTTCCAGTATCTGTATTAGCAGAAAGCTGGATTCAGGAGCTAGAGTCAGGTATTGAACTAGAGTACTCTGATAGGTGTGAGCATCTTAACCACTAGGATAAATGTTCCACCCACAATTGACTTCATTTGTATGGGGGGGGTGTGTCCCAAAAAGTTAATGGAAAATGCATTTTATAAGAAAACTATGAATGGATTTCAAAAATTTCTTTGCACCAAAGCAGACTTAACTTTTAATTCTAATTTTTCACACATTAAAAGTGGCCTCATATAACCTTGCACTTTGCAATATTGCTATAATCACATTAATTCCAACAGTTTTTGTTGTTATCAATTTTTTGGTATTTCCTACATAGACAATTATATCATCGGTGAACAAAGGTAATTTTATTTCTTCCTTCCTAATCCTAATTGCTTTTCTTATCTTATTGCACTAGCTAGGAATTCTAGCACAATGTTCAACAGGAATGGGGGCAATCCTTGTCTTGATCCCTGTCTTAGAGGAAAATCCCATTTTTCACCATTAAGTATGATATTAGCTATAGGGTTTTTTGTAGGTAGTCTTTATCAAGATGAGGAATTTCTCCCTGTATTCCTAGTTGCTGAGCATTTTAATCTTAAATTAGTATTACATTTTGTCAAATGTGCTTCTGTATCAATTGATATGAACATGATTTTTCTTCTTTGACTTGTTGATATGATGGATTATATTAATTGATTTTCAACTGTTAAAACAGCCTTATATTAATCCCACTCTGGTGGTTAATTGATTTTATGTATTGTTGGATTTGATTTAATATTTGTTAAGAATTTTTGTGTCTATGTTGATAAGAGATACTGGTATATAGTTTTCCTTTTTTGGAAACTTAAACATCTTTATCTCATGTTGCTAATATAGTAAACCTGGCCTCACAGAATGAGTTAGGAAATGTTGCTTCTACTTTTATTTTCTGAGAGATAGAGAATTGGTATAATTTCTTCATCAGTAGAATTTACCAGTAAAACCATCTGAAGCTGCC